AATAAATCCTCTCGCTGCTGATGAAAATCAGGAAAAGCATGAGGTCGGAGATGTCAGAGTTGTGAAACAATCCTGTCAAGCTGACTTGGAGTGATGTCATATATAGCGTACTGCTTGGCTGGTAACAGCTCAAAGACCACCATCTTTTGTTAGCCGCCCAACACACTGTTGTACAATTCCTTCATTCCTTTTTTATTTTATTTTTTTCATTTTCTTACCTGTTAGTGTTCTTTCTTCTGATCTGTACGTAGGTGTAATTGTATGTTAGGGATGTAAGTGACTAATCAGCTAGTCAACTTGTACATTTCAAAGTGGAGATGTCACCTGCTGGCCCCAGGCTCCATGCGGTGTTTCAGTCTTTGAAATGCACAAGAGCCACTGCTGGGGCTCTCTTGTACATTTCAAAGGCAGAACACTGCCTGACACTTCCACCTTGGAACTATAGCAACAGCTGAGTGAGCTCCTGCTATATTTCAAAGCGGAAGCACCCTTATCAACTAAGCGAATTGTTGATGGAAACTCCATCAATGATTTGATTAGGTAATTAATCTTATTTTAGCATCCTTAGTTTTAGTGTGCTTTTTGTTTTACGTGCTATCTATTTTTCACATTGAGCCTGCTGGTGATTATCTTACAGACTTGAGTGGAACTTGAGGAAGACAAATTGTGTTTGGTATCTCTCTGTTTCATGAACAATCACTGAATTTTATAGTATGGTAAAAGAAAAAAACCCCCAAACATTTCAGTGTTTTATAGTGAAAACTAAATCTCAGTAGATATTTGCAAACATATTTTATGTGTATATTAAGGGGCTGTGCTTGCCAGCTCTCCTCTCTCTGGGGTAGGCAGCCCTGGCTGCATGGGGGGGGCCATGCCAAGGTGTGCTAGCCCTGGCTCTGCTGACGGCCAAACAGGTCTGAGGCCATGCCAGCCCAGCTCTCCTCCCTTCCCCCAGGCGCTCTCCCCCATCCTGGGGGGAGGGGTAAGCCTGGCTGCTGAGAAGGGGGTTGACCTAGGCCAGGCCAGCCAACCCCTCCCCCCCCCCAAACACACACACCAGGCCCTGCCCTGTCCTC